CCTTAATTCTTTTAACTACATTGGCAGCATTGTCGCTCACAGCGAAATTTACTTTCTCTTTTAAATTCCACCTGTTCAAAATAATTTATAGCTCAGATGCTATATTTAAAGCTGTGTGGCTTCCAGAAAAACTACAACAACCTAACAAAACAGTTTTCAATTCCAAATCCTGTGTCATGTAGTGTCCTGTCACAGCGATGTAACTCTCCGTAACACGTGAGGTCCACAAGTCTGTTGTTATACAAATGGTTTCTACTTATTGAGCTACTACAAATCTAACATTCTTCCAATAAAGACCCGGACAACGTTTTTCTTGTAGGTAATGTATACCCCGGAATCCATCGACAGAACTTTTTAAAAGCTCGTTCCTCTACAATTGAAAACGGATGGAACGAGTCTATGCATAGATCAAGTAAATCAGAGTCAATTTGTTTTTTTTGCTCGACGCTTATTTTTTTATTGATAAATGAGTCCATCACTTTTTGGCGTATAGTTGGAGGCGGTGCCGTCGGTGCGAGTGACGAGTGACTAACCGATAAGTAAACAAATAACAAAAGCCTAATTATGTTAATATTTTATCAAAACGTCAACAGAATTCGATCAAAAATAAAAGATCTTTATCTTAAATAACATTCTAGCTGTTATGACTTAATTTGTTTAAATGAAAGTAATCTGAATTTCTGTATTTATGATAATAGTCCAGTCAAAATAGACATATGACTAAGGAAAAATTCGCATAGAGCTGAAAATTGCCAGAGAGTTTAAATACATCATTATAAATGAAATATCAAAAATCCCCTTCGATACTAATTCTGCAAAAAAAATTATTCAAGGTCAAAAGTATAAAATTAAGGTTTTTTCCATTTTTCTCGAAAACAGTAAGTATTATCGTGAAAATAGGTCAGACAAAAGTTGTAGATCATACAATTCTCTACAAAAATGGTCTAGTCATTTTTTCTCTTACGACTCACCATTCATGATATATCGCGGTTTTAATCATTAGAAAATTCATATTTTACATAATAACACATTTCCGCACCACCTATGAGGTAATGTACTTGGCGCATTTTTTTTAACGTGGTTTCCCCAGTAGGTATACACCACGATCGTATCCTCTTAATTGAAAGAATAGTAATATTGCTAATGATTAAAGTGGAATAGGTTGTTTTTATTTTGTTGTCATCATTTTATAAGATAATTGTCTATTTCTACGTCAACAATTATTTCTTCGTCTAATGACACTTTCTTGCGTACTTCTCCCTCGAGCAACACCTCCATCTGTTTTCATACACTTCATCATTGATTGTTCATTCACCATACCCGTCGAAGTTCCACAATTTAATTTATCAAAACGTCTAATAGTGAAAAATCCTTCAATAAACCTATGATAAACACTAGGATCTATCAAGTTCTCTAATTGCATCATATCTTGTAGATATAAATGCGCAGATTTGGCATAATTAAAATGTCCTGACGCATGAAGATAAGGAAGCATTTCTTTAACGCAATCCAAATGAGCTCGCCAATCACCCATACGTTCAGCTCTTATGAATTCCTTTGCAATAGACACCATATGATTTATGAAAATATTGTATCCATAGTTTTGCTGTAGGTTCTCGTTCTCCGTGCTCCGGTAGTTTTTCATTAAACTGATAAAGTAATGCTTCAGCTATTTCATCGCCTTGTTCAATATCATTATAGGAAATAGTTTTATTTATTATAAGTTCAATTGTATTTGTAAGGTTTTCATCCATCTCACTATCGAGAACAAGCTCTTTGGATATTATTGTTGCTAAAGTAAGATGTAGCAAGGTATGAGCTCGAACAGCTCTCGCGTAAGCATGACCATTGAGCATTTTTTCTAATGAATTGGGTGCATAAATCAGAGAAAGTACTTTTATACCACTTCCTTGCATAATATATCCAATCGCTCCAAAAAAAGACATGAGTAAATGAAAAACTAAAAGTCTTACTATGATCTTCGATAAATCAGATCCTTCAACCGACGAAGGGAATTAGGGACTAACAGTAAGTATAGTCTTATATTTTTAAATCCTCAATTTATACAAATTTTATTGTGTAAGTAACACAAACGAATAGTTTCTAAATGAAAATAAGAATTATAAATGAAAATAATAATTATAAATGAAATATAAATGAAAATAATATTGAACGTCCGGTGATGTATAAGTGCATTTTAGTGCATAAAATATGAATTTTCTAATGATTAAAACCGCGATATCTCACGAATGGTGAGTCGTAAAAGAAAAGTGACTGGACTATTTTTGTAGAGAAGTCTATGATCTACAACTTTTGTCCGACCTATTTTTACGATAATGCTTACTGTTTTCGAGAAACCTTGACCTTGAATAAATTTTTTTGCAGAAGTGAGATCGCAGGGGATTTTTGATATTTCATTTATAATGATGTATTTAACGTCTGTGGCAATTTTCAGGTCTATGGGAATTTTTCCTAAGTTATGACTTATTTTTGTCTATTTTGACTGGATTATAATGAATTATTGGATGATCGATATTTTATATTTAGACGTGACCGTTCAAGTACATGCATTAATAAAAATGAAGGCGGTGGCGTTCTGATAGCAGTCAATAAGGAAATAAATGTAGTTGGACGAGTAAATTTCGAAAGTCCTATTGAAGATATTTGGTTAAGCATCGTATTGCCAAATAATAAATTAAAAATAAATTTATGTGTAGGTATGCTACTTACCTCCTGATTTGTTATATCATGTCAATATCATTTATAAATGTTTTTTTGATAATATCACGTTTATTTACTTTAATCGTTTATTAACACAATAAAATAGACACGAAATTACATAAAAGGGAAAATTAGGCAAATAACAAAACAAATGCGAATCAATTTTTGTATAATCTTATTCTGTGTATGTAATTTAGTACCTTAACCCTAGAACACTAACCTTATTTTACGATGTTTATTACTAACCTTCGTCGTTTCGACTACGCTGCATAAAAGGAAAGCTTCTATGAGTTTATAAAATAAAATATTTATATGTTTTTATTTACCAAAATCACATTTTAATTACTTCGACAGTCTTTTGATTGAGACCAGAGTTTTTACTCATTTGAACATTTTTGTTTTTTTTTTAATGCTTAAATCTTATTAACTGAAAAAACAAAGGCTTAAAAAAATATTAAATTTTTGAAAATAAGTAACAAAATCAACAAAAGAAAGAAAAATTTTAGAAAAAAACTATTAATTAATACATTTGTGACATATCTCTAGTTTGTGTTCGCCAAACAAGGATTTGTTGCATTTGGCTCAACAAACCTTTGTCATTCTTCGCCTTGCGGGGGGGCAAATTGCACAAATTTTTCTTTTTTTGGCAATAGGAAGAGTAACTGCATCTTCTCTTTGATCAGTCTCATGTGTAGAAGTAGAACTACTGGTTCCTGGCATATTCAAAATCGCTGTTATTGAGTCTCGCAGCCCCGTTTACAGTGTCGGAATTAGTAATCTTTTTTGTATGTGTGGCTCGACTAATTTTTGATGCAGAGCTTTTAAGAACTCGCGTCTCGATAAAGGTTTTTTATTAGCCGCTAAAGTGTTGGTTACATATATAACATAACTATTTATAAATGTAATGTTTAGCATTCCGTAAAAAATACACAAAGGCCAACGGCGTGTTTTTCGGCTGCAAGAAGCGAGAGAACACATTTAGTCTAAAGTGTCTACTCCGTCCTTTGGTTGATTGTAAAACTCGACCATCGTAGGCTTTTTCGTCATCTCATCAATTGTCGCTTCCTCATCACAAGTCGTCAATAGGAATATTGTCTTTTGGGGCTTTTGCTTGTATGAAAGTAATAATAATAATAATAATTTATTTCAGATCTTAATTGTAGATCCATATTGTGTTAGTAAAAATTAAACTTAATAAACTAATTGGTTAGTAAAGTTACAAACATATATTTTACTTGACTACATGGAGTCGTATCCAATGTGCAAAAATTGGCAATGTCAGTTCCTTGTCATAACAGAAAATAGCTGTTCCTGTCTTGCAGGTACGCTCATGCTGTAACTTTATCGGTATCTCCCTTTTGTTAGCACGTAGAGTCCCAACCAAGGTCAACCTATAGGGTTCTTTTACTAAACTTTTGGCTAGTGGTACCGAAGTGAACCAATTATCCATGGTTATATGTCCATTTGTGCCGTGCACAGTTCGTGTCAATTTTTTGACAAAATATTCGCCAAGTGGCAATCCATCAGTTTTGGTAAAAGAACCTAGATAGGGTTCGGCATTCACCATATACTTTGTAGAATTATCTACCAACATTACAATTTTCACACCATATTTATTTGGTTTATTGGAAATATATATTCTAAAAGGGCATCTGCCTCTGAAACCCAATAACTGTTCATCAATGGTCAGGTAGCAACTAGGTTTATAGTTCTCTTGACATGCTGTTATAAAAAGATTCCATATATCTCGAAAAGGGGCATATACATCAGTGAATATTCGGATAACTGCTAGGCTCATTTCTCTTGTGATCGACGGTAACTTAAAAAAAATTAGGTTGCCACCTTGTGTGCGATATCATCGCAATTTTTAAGTCTTTGCTAATGTGAGTCTGTTTTATATCCCAGCCGTAATGTTCTTATGCGGGTGACAATAAGATTTTGACACATTAATGAATCGCAAATTATGGGACTTTTGAAATTTTTACGACTTTATTTAATAATAGAATGCAAGGTCTCAATTTGTGTAGTAAACTTTTTTGTTCACAAGTAGTAAACTCTTAATCATACAGAATATGTAATATATAATGAATATCAGGATTTAACAGAAGCCGTAATATAATTTAATTCCACACTATATTTAGAAACTGTAGATAATACAAAGAAGTTTGATGACAATGACATTATCTACTCCAATGATCACGAATCAATTTTTCATAGCTTTTGCATAAGCATCAGTCAAAATATTTTGGGACTGACTCTGTGTCTGAGAATATAATTCGTTAGAAATTATTTGCATGGATCCTCCAGGTATCTGGATTGTAGGGACAGGTGTATGGATTCTGTTGGGGGATTGATAAACTACTTCTTGTATAGGAGAAGCAATTATATAATGATTTGAAGACAATGATGATGGGCGATTGATCCAAGATGACGACGGTGATGAACAAGAATAGCTGGTGGCTGAAGAATACGGACGTTTACTTATAATGATTTGAGAAGGTGAAGACATATTGAGGACTACAATTGCGACGCCGTTTTAATAGTAACCCATCAATTTCGTACATTATTTCTTGTCTCTCATTATCTGAGTATTTACTGAGTTTGTTAGCAAGAAGCCTCCCATACAAGTCACAGTCGTCCTCTGTTTTATTTTGTTGGTCTTTATTGAGAATAGCCTGGTTTAACGCATTAACAATAATAATAATTATAAAAATGAATAGACGGGCCGGCAGTGTGCTTCCAATGCACAGTAATATTTGCATATATATTTTTTTTTAATCTAAATAAATAAATAGATATAAAATGAATAAATAAATAAATATATTATTTAATAAATTTATAAATTAAATAAATAAATAAATAGGTACGCTACAAATTTATTGAATTTAATAAAAAAGAACAGAAATAGAAATGGAGTTTAGAAGACGAGTGGCCTGTATCGTGGTATTCAGAAGACTGACTTGTTGACCAAGTACGCCAACCAACTAAACCTGGTAATGCTGACTTAGTCAGCTTATCTTGAAAATGGGGTTGCAAGTCAAAACCGTAACAACCCCCCTTTAAGTATTACATATTCTTGGTGTCTTGCATGACACTGATGCGAGACGTTATTTAGTTTTTGGGAGTATCTACCTCATCAGTACCGTAGTCATCATTAACAAAATTGACTCGAGGTTGTTTTTTTTAACCTGATGTTGATGGATTTTCACGATTGTAAATGCGATTCTTGTATTTTCGTTTTCGGCATTGATCGTTGGAATGGCCAATGTTATTGCAATAACGACAAGTTATTTTATTTTTAACTGGAATTGGTTAGGATATAAGCGATCAAGTTGCATGTAAGATTTGGAATTGCTCTGATTGTTTTGAAAGATTCATCCACCTGTGGTCTACGGTAGGGGAGTTGGGGCATCTTGATACGATTTTTACTCAGATGCAATATAAAGCGACCTATTGAGAGTAACATTCAATATAAGACTTATAATCTATTCATTGTACATTCATCTAGCTCTTTAAGGTGAAATTAACCGTTAGATTTAATCACATAAAATTTCAGAACCTCTTTGTTATAAATTAAAATTTGTATCTATGTACCCCGGATGTGGGGTATACAGGGGCACTTTGATTAATAGAAACATTGCTACAAATGAAACAAGTTTATTTATTTATGGGACATTCATTTATTTATTACTTTTAGGAACATTGTTTATATTAAGTTTTAACCAATTTGCATTGAAATAAAATCTTTTTATAATTATAAAATATTAACCCGTATCTTCCCAAGTCCTCAAAACTCATCTGATTGAAGCGAAACTTTCAGAATCATTTGTTAGTAGCCTAATTATCGATAATATGCAACAAAAAAAAAAATTTCGATTTCCGGTATTTCAGTTACAGTACCGATCCAAAAATGGAACAGTAGGAGAATATGCCACTGTATTTTATTGTTGGTATTGTGTGCTTTTTAGGAAGATTGCTGTAAATAATGAAAGATATTTATGAATAATCTTATTTATTTTTAGTATATAATTTTAGTATTTTTAGTATTTTATATAACATTTAGTATAACATTTAGTATTACAATTTTATTTCGTATGAAACGCAGGAGAACACTTTTGGTGTAGGGCGACGTTGCATTTGCCACATTTCATTGTCGTGTTTTTATGACATAAACCACAACGGTTTTGTTTATCACTTTTGATAATATGGTGTGCCTTTCCATCTAACCTAATATCAACTGGAACTCGTTTTATGACTGCTAGAGATGATCTTGGAATAGGCTTCTTTACTGAAGAAGAATTTTCAGGAAAAGTCTGAAGATATGTTGTTACAACATGTCTTGTAAATGACAAATAGTCATGCTGATTGTTTTGTGAAGCTGGCGATAATTTATATAACTGAAAAGCATTATTCATACATACATTTATAGGAAACATAAGTAGCTGCCAGTACCACCTCTTCAGGCGTATAGAAATACGATAGCATCCCACATTTTGATCCAAACGGTCGACACCGCCCATATATTTGTTATAGTTGACGATGCAGCGAGGTTGGTCGACGTCTTTCTTCTGCTTGTCACAGTAACGTTTTACCTTAGCTAAAGGCTCCACACCACATTCGGTTGAGGCAACGGTAACAATATTGTTGTCATTGTAACGTACGAGGGTGATGTTCGTCAGAGTATCTGTACACTGGTCAAAAGACCCTCTGCTCATTTTCTTCATATCTTTCGCTTCTTTCAAGGGTGCCTTTTCTACCCTATTTGCCCTAACCGTTCCCGTCGCATCGTGTCCTAATGTTTTTATTTCATCCAACAAGGGTAAAGATGTAAAATAGTTGTCCATATAAAAGCTGTAAGTACCGGGCGGCAATTTGGATATGAGGTCTAAAACAACAGAAGCACCTACACCAAGTTCTGGGTGGGTATTTCCTGTGCTTGCCCCTTGATAAAGCTCTCCATATATCAAATATCCAAGACGAGTACATATAGACCAATTCTTATAACCGAACCGAATGGGTTTACCATGAATATGTTGCTTCGTCCCATGTTTCCCGAAATATGGAATCATGGATTCATCAATGCTTAGATTCCTGTCACCGGGATAATATTTTACCCATCTCTTATTGAGTAGATTCCAGAGAGGACGAACCTTCGCGAACTTGTCCTGTGGAGCTAAGTTATTATTATCGGCGACGTGAAAGAATCGTAATAGTTCTTCAAATCTGTTCCTAGGCATAGCAGCTGCCACACCTTGAAAATTACAATCAACACTTTGCTCCCAGTACATACGATATCTAGCAACACTGTTGTAACCAGACAGCAAGAGAATCCCTATAAATCGTTTTATTTCCTCAGTTGTAACTTTGAAATTGTGGTAACCTTTTTGAATAGCATTTTTTTCGGTTTCAGAGCGAATCAATTCAAAAAACGTCTTCGTCAAAAAAAAGTTCAAAAAAGTGAACAGGAGTATCTAGGTGTTCTAAGAAATGTGGTGGCTCTGATGTTTTCTCTGTCTTCACTGGAATATCTACTTTCCTCCACTTTCGGGTAGCTGGACATTTTTTTTTCTTTGCCGGTGGTTGTACTGATAAGTCGCCGTGTGTATTATTATCTATAGAAACTTCATTTGATACGCTTTCTATAATATCTAAATTAGACTGTGAAGATACAGTAGCCCTAAACTCAGCCTGTGCTAAGAGCTGCTGCCTGGACAGGTGATTTATGTTCGAAGACTCCTCATCTCCACTGTCTTCATCACTTTTGTCGTAATTATCTGGGGGTGTTATGTAAATATCTGCTGACAATACGTCATCGTTGTCTTCAAGATGCGATATTATGTCATTTACCGACAATCTAAAACAAAATAAACGCAAAATTCAAAAATAACAATTATGTCACTACATAAAATGTTCCATATCCATATTATCCTACTGATCCATTATTGGATCGGTACGTATAAAAGTAAAAAATAAATGTAAATAAGCTAAATGTGCATTTCACTGTCTTGCAATATGATAACTCAACTCCTAGCCGATATAAATACGATACAATAATTATAAATTATCTAAAAAAAAAACAAGAAATACTTACATTCGGCGATGAGACATTTTTTCACAATTTCCAAAAAATTCAGTGCGTAACAAAACACAAATTTCGCGGCCCACCGAGGATCTGACAAGTGAATATGGCGGCAAGAACTGTCAGTGCTGCCACCATAGACAAAAAAAATGGCTGCGTTCACGAAATTTTAGTAAAAAAAATATTAAACTAACCGATCCAATAATGGATCACTGGGATGATACGGGTTAAAATCAAACAATAGGTAAAGTATGACATGAAAGATACTTAAACAATATGATATAAACATTCTTTATCTGGTTTAATCAGTCATCACTAGTCTTTTACTTAATCAAAAAGATATAATCATTATTACACTTACATAATCATGACTTTTTACGAAGTAGGTAAATTAACTTACATTGAAATGTTATAAGGTGACATATTTATTTTAAATTTAAATAGAGAGGCTGTTCGACTAGTGCCTTTCTTTACAATTGGATCTGGTAACTTCAGCACAATATCAGCAATATTAACTGAAGCTTCATCTTTCATGTCAGGGAACACATAATTTCCAGTCGGTTTAAGTTTGAAAAAAGAGACAAGAAAATTATTATTATCGTGAGACTATTTTCCCAACAAAGTGCTTATAAGGATTCTTCTTTCCTACATTAATTACCTTTGTTGCGTATATTTCTAACTTTTTGAGATGGCAAAATGGAGTAGGCGAAAATGAAAATCGCGTTTAAACAAATGACCGTTTATGCTGCTTTATGAGTGGTAGTTCGTAAAACGGTCGTCTGTATCCCTCCTCAACCGCTGCTGTGGTCACCCCATTTGTCTGCTCGCGCTGACATCATCATCGTCATCGCCGATCAGCTAACCAATAGGATGCGTTGCGCGATGCGTTGACATAGGTGCGTCGACTGATATAAAAAAAATATAAAATAAATTTAATTAAACTAAGTAAAGGAAAAAGAACCAAAAAGTTGTTAGAACAAATATTTAGAGGCAAAAAGTTTATATGACGAATATATAAAATACCGTGACGAGTTAAATTTGAATGCATCTAAAGGGTATATAAAAAAGGAAGAGATAAATTACTTATTAGTTTTATCAAAAAATCCAAACATTTTCAAGCACATACGCCGCGGCACGCTTCATTCGTACGTATTGAGAAAACCTACGAAAAGGAAATAACATAATATTATTATTTATCGACTGGTTAGCGACTTGACAAATAACAGGTGACTTTAATTCGGGTAAATCATAGTTTGTATAATTAGTATTTATTAATTTAGGTAACTTGAACTTAATTTCGTTTAGAAAATCTGGCCCCTCCCACCAGAGTTGGGAAGAATAAAGTGTATCGAGGTCGGTTTTGTTTACCAGGTACGTGACGCCACGGAAATTCTTTTGTTAAATTGTGAATTTCCGAGGTTCGGTTTTGGACATAAGGCTTAAGTGAATTAATCGGCATACCTTTTTTTTTTTTTTTTTTTGGAGGAATCCTATTACGGACTTCCCGTGCCTGGGCAAATTTAGTGACACGGGGGTGTGTGGGGCTCGACCTAAAGGCGTTCGGCCACTACCCACTTAACCTCCAAGGCCCAATCCTTTCGTATTAGCCGAAGTCCGGTGACTGGTGTGTCCATTGCTCCGGGCTTCGACGTACGTCCGCCGCTCAGCGTCATTGACGCGCGCCTCTCCTGCTTTTGCCGTTGCTCCTTGTTGTGTGCTATTATCCTAAATGTATAAACAGACACACACGTTCTATTCATCCCTCAATAAAGGGACGAATGAATCCTACAAACTAAAATAATGTATTAAACTAAACTAAGCAAAACATATAAATATAAATATATGTATATACATGTTTATATTAATTCATTTATTTACACCTTAACTTACATTATCTACTATTTACAGGATGCGACCGGCGTATCTTCGCCGCCGCCCTCCGGGTCTTCGACGCCTCGCCTGAGTGGCCGCAGGGTCGACTTCCCTCTCCCTCTCAGCCTTCTCCTTCCGCTTCATGACTGACTCCGCGAAGACGTTGAGAGCCTCCCAAAGTTCTTTCTTCTGAGTGATGCGCCGCGCGATGTGCGCCAACGATCCGTCGTGTCCGGTGAATAAGCCGGCTATGGGCAATCTGTCGTTTGCCCACGCCGGGCAGTCAAATAAGGTGTGACTTTCTGTATCCATAGCGCAGTCACAGTGGTGGCAGGCGGGTGACTCCTCTCTTCTGGCTATTTTGAAAAGATATTTTCCAAAGCAGCCATGGTCGGTCAATAACTGGACCAGCCAGTAAGAGGGAGCTCCCCACCGCCGCCTCGTCCAGTCCTTAAGAATGGGTCGGAAGGCGTCCAGCGTCCATGAGCCGACTCTTGACAGAGCCAGCTCCTCCTGCCATTTGGCGAGCACCCAGTCCTGGGTCTCAGCTCGCCAGGACCTGAGCTGGTCCTGTGATGGCTCGGTTCCGACTCTTCTGAGGTCAGCACGGCGCCAGTAGATCTTCGCCAATGCAGCGGCATCCAGGTACCAGGGTGGGAGTCCGGCTATCACACACACAGCGTCGCAAGACACTGTGCGGTAAGCCCTCGCCACCCTAATGGCTATGGTGCGCTGCGACCGACGAAGAATCGCCTTATTAGTTGTAAGGTGCCGAGCCTCATCGCTCCAAATGGGTGACCCGTATAGGGCCACCGATCTCACCACGCCGGAGAATAACCGGCGCCGTTTCTCGCTTGGGCCGCCGATGTTTGGTAGAAGACGACCAAGAGCTGCCGCCGTCTTGTCCAATTTAGGAGCAAGAGCGGCGAAGTGAGCCCTAAAGGACCATCGACCATCCAGGACAAGTCCTAGGTATTTGATGGTCGTCTTCACCTGAATCGGGAAATTTATCGGCATACCTAACCTAACCTAATACAATCGTCGAACCTGTCCAGAACACTATTTTATTAAAGTTAGAACGCAACGATTCACAAATCTTTTATATACAGTCTCGCACCTAATAACTATAGGTATAGTTGTAGGTTTTGTTGGTGCCACCTTACCTTTGGAACATAATAAACGCGTAGTAACCGTCGACTCGTTGTTAATGCTGCGAATATAAGCGCAGGCGCCGTACGCTGTTTGCGAAGCGTCCGTAAATATATGTAGTTCTATATACATAGGATTATTGCACATTACGTAACGCGGGATTCTCAAACTACTACGTCACATGAGACCGGAGATGAATCGCTTCCATACCTTTGCGACGTCACATGAAACCGGTTCATCCCATTCAAGTTTTAAAAGCCAACATTTTTGTAATAAACTTTTAGCGATAGTAATAATTGGACTAATTAAACCCAAAGGATCGTAAATTTGTGACGCGTTTGATAAAATGACTCGTTTGGTTATAATATCGTTCGGTTCGTGTTTTATTTGAGAGTAAAATATTAATTCGTCTGACTTATTATTCCACCCGATACCTAATGTTTTGTTCTGCACGCCGTCAACTATGTCTTATTTTAACTTAAACTGATAAATAGTTATGGCTATCTCTGACCTTGGAATGGATAACACTTTGAAAAATTCCTATATCCTTTAAATTAATGCTAAATCTATGTATTAGCTATCTTCTTTTGGCAGCATTAAGAACACATTCCACAAGAAAATGATGTATGTCATCCTGAATCCCGCATATATCGCAATTTTTAAGTTAAATTTAAGTAAGGAAAGTTTAATTTCTTCATTAGATATCCAAAATTATTTGCAGGAATGTGTCCGGAACGCAGTCTGAGAGCCATAACAATTTGTTGTCGAGTTAGTCCTGAGTCACAAAACCATGGAATACGAGGGGGCTCACTCTGTATGGTCTTATACCATATTCCCTTACACCTCGACCTTTCGTCAAAATACTCTTTAAAACTTTTTAGACATTCAAATTTGATTAAGGTATCGGTATAATCCGGTCTTAGATTTGTTGAGGTCCCTACATGTAAAGCTTGTTTTGCTAAGCTATCAGCCCTTTCATTCGCCTTCAATCCATTGCAATTTCAAGAATTTGCCAATTGCTATTGATTTGCAAAAAAACTCATTTAAAATTTTGTAGGCTATAGATATTCCCTTTTTACCTCTAACACAGCCTATAAGATGAAGTATGGCACTTTTACTGTCAGAACAGATAACAATATTTGCATTATTGACAGTTCTAGAATAACACAGTGCCTCAAATATAGCTACAAGTTCAGCAGTCATTATTAATGTATAAACATTTAATTTAAACATTTTACTAGTATTAGAAGTAGGATCATAGCAGGATCAACCAACATTTGTTTTATCTTTTGAGCCATCGGTATACAAATGTGCCATCCCTCATAATTCTGGTTTAACTCTTATACAACATCTGCTTCACAATATTAAAATCATAACTACTTTTAGGTCCTTTTACACAACTTAGGTTAGATTTTGCAGATGTTTTTAATGTCAATATTCGACACCCATGTATTGAGATTAAACATTTCCAAAATACTAGAGGAGTTAATATTTTCATTTTTTGTATTTAAATATGTGACACTTAATAAAGGTTTCTTTTTGTTATTCCAGTACCTTTTCGTTAGTAATAACCTTAACTCGGATATAAGTATCTTAAATAAAAACAATTGATCCCTCTCCATGCGACGGTATTCTAAAGACGGAATGTGTGAAATATCCTGATTATGCTGCAAAAACTTATAACTAGAATGTTTAAAAAATTTGCGTTGAATTTTCTCTAATTGCATAATATGGCATTTATAAAAGGGATTCCAAACAGTTGAACAATATTCGAGGATCGATCTAACAAACGAATTATATAAAAGTATTAAAGTATTTACGTTTTTAAAATCCCTACCAACTTTTAAAACAAATCCAAGCATTCGGAAAGCTTTAGTTATAATGTAATTAATGTGGGACTTAAAAGTTTAGTTTGCTATCAATGTAAATACCTCGGTAACTCGTGCAATAATATTGTTATTTAGATGGTAATTGAAGTTAATATCTCTAGTTTTACGAGTGAAAGAGATAACATTACATTTCTTTACATTTAAACACAAATAGTTGTCTGAGCAGTACCTACTCACATAATTGCATAATTTAAACATCTACAACTTAAAAACGGTGCGGATGTTGTACTATACGTAACCGTGTTTAATCGGTACACCTTTGACTCCTCAGGCGGACTGTCCCTCCATAGAATAAGCTGCATATCTCGTTCGTCATTATCGATAAGCACTTAGCGATACATTTTTTCGATATCTGCGCAACCTACGTAACGATTTTCACGAAATCTAAGTAAAATCGCGATTAAATCACCTTGTATGGCTGGACCGATCATCTGTAAACCATGGTGTGGTAAAAAATAATGCGGCGTGTTATAACTGTGTACTAGACAGTAGACTCATATGACCGAGCTCAATGTAATCGCGTATAAAATCATTATATAGTTTTTTATACTAAGGATTGCGTTGTAATCTCTTTTCTAACACGTAAAACCTACGTTCTGCCTGCGCGCGTGTGTCACCTAAATCGTTTGGGGTTTGCTTAAACTGAAAACGAACTTTGAACCGTACATCCGAATCCTGTTTTGTAGTCCGATCATTTATTTTGAATATCTGCTAACCAATAGGATGCGTTGCGCAATGCGTTGACATAGGCGCGTCGACAGATATAAAACATCAAATTGAAAATATAAAAATAAATTTAATTAAACTAAGTAAAGGAAAAAGACCTAAAAAGTTGTTAGAACAAATATTTAGAGGCAATAAGTTTATATGACGAATATACAAAATATCGTGACGAGTTAAATTTGAATGCATATAAAGGGTATATAAAAAAGGAAGAGATATATTACTTATTAGTTGCTTGAGAGGAAATTGAATCGTTTTATCAAAAAATCCAAACATTTTTAGTTAGTGACCAAGATTTTAGCATCATGACTGACTTTGACATGAAAACTGCTACTTCTCTTCTACCTGTTATGACAGGAAAAGAAGTTACTAAAAATTAATAGATTGTATTTGTTAAATATGTAAATATTATATACGACAGAACTAGATAAATAACATAGGAAATTAGGAGCACAATAAAATACCTCCACTCAATCTAACGTTTAATCGGTGACAAAGACAGACACATACGAATACCTAAAAACTTACTAAGAATTATTTATTTATTTTATTTATTCAGATACACCATCGACTTATTATAATAACTAACACAATATTATATGCACTAAATATACAATCCAGTGTGATAAGCCTTTACAGGTGTATACAACATTGTTTTTTTACAAAAATACAGACTAAACGGTATAAAACTAAAATAAAACAAAGCAAAATAAGAACTAGGTTAAAACAAAGTTAAAAACTAAGAAACAAAACTGATAACAATATTAATCTACTTATCTAGGTAGGATAGGGACGTAGAGTGCTATAAATAAATTGTGAACCAATTACTACAATCGTTCTTCGTCGTAAATAACATCTAAACAATTCCTCACAAATTTGGCACAATCTTGAGGATGAAAAATGTCGATATCACACTTAGACTTATTTATAATAAATCTACCCCACATATATCACACCTTCACCCTTAATTTCTTAACCCCTTGAAACATTTAATTGACAAAAAAAAATTAAACTTAAACCTATACTAACTTATACACTCTACTTATTTATTTCATATAAAAGTAAATACATATTATAAGACACATAGTATACACACAAAGTAAATACAAATATTATCTTAGACATATCAACCAAAACATACAGTATGTATGTACGTTAGTCAAACTCAAACCCGTGTCGTTTAACGGGTTTTCGAACCTGTCATGGCTGGTGAAAGACCAGTAGTACTTTGCTCAACATTTCTGTATGCTAATAAATAAGACTGTAATGCAGCTTCCACATCACAGTCATCCCTTAATGATTTTTTTAAAGCCCTCTTACACAACTTAGTAGCTCCTTCTGCTGCTCCATTACTCGATGTGTGATATACAGGTAAATGTTACTTTAATGCCAGTGCTATCCATAAAATTGCTATATTCTCTACTTGAAAAAGGAGAGCCGTTGTCTGACACTATTTCTTTCGGTAAACCGAATCTTGCAAATGTTTTCCGTAAAACCCTAATAACTGCGGCTGCGGTAGTGGTTTGCATATAAAATATCTCCAACCGTTTGGATGTTGAGAATATCAAAACTCGAAAAGTTTTACCACCTAGAGGCCCTAAAAAATCAACGTGTAGTCGTGACCATGGTTCAGCAATATGTGGCCATAGCTTTGGTGGAGCTCGGACCGGTACACTAAAGGGGGCAGGGGCATTTTGACTTTAAAATCGGTCAAAATTATTTAGTACTTTTATTTTATTGGAAATGAATAAAAATACGTATTTGATCAAAGAAAACATATATTTTTTTAAAAAAAATGGCTAAACTAAAAATAATAATAAAAAGCATTTAAAACGTTTATTAAAGTATTTGAAAGGTACTAGAGATTATGGTCTTGTATATAAGAAAACCAATTGTAATATGCATGGCTTTGTAGATGCAGATTGGGCTTCTTGTTCACTTGATAGAAGGTCATATACTGGATTTTGCTTTCTAATGTCAAATTCTGTAGTGTCCTATGAATCTAAGAAACAGAAAACTGTAGCACTATCTAGTACAGAAGCAGAATACATGGCCTTATCTGAATCTTGTAAGGAAGGCATTTATTTAATGAACTTACTAAAAGAGCTTATACAATATATAGATATGCCACTGCATTTGTATAGTGATAACCAAAGCTCGATTAAATTAGCTTCTAATTCATTGTTTCACAACAAGCGCACTAAACATATAGATATTAGACACCACTATGTAAGAGAATGTGTTTTAGAAAATAAAGTTAAAATTGAATATGTGTCAACAAATAATATGCCAGCTGATATATTGACCAAAAATGTATGTAAAGATAAACATTACAAGTTTTTAAGTTTAATGGGTATTTCTAAAGTGTAGTTACATATAAAGTGTAGTATATTTGATTACAACTACTGTATACTTTTGTTTTTGAAATTTAGTTTATTTTGTTAGGTCAGGGTGTTAAATAATTGTAACAAAAATTCACATATTATGTCCAGCAGCGCTATCTATGGTCATTCCTAAGTAAATGAATGTATAATCTGTTGAAGGAACGAATGAGTAATTGAAATAAAACAGTTCAGTTGATTCAAAACCAGCAAAGCATTTTATTATAAGGAAGGGCGAGGTATCTCTTAACTCGACTCCAGGTAACTTTAAGCCTGTATTTTCCAAACAAGAAGAAGAAGAGCTAGTTAGGTATGTAAAAGATATGGAGAAGCGATTATTTGGATTGACAACTGTCGTCCTACGAAAACTAGCCTATCAGCTCGCTGAAAAAAATGGTAAAACTCACAATTTTAACCATGTTAAAAAGATTGCTGGCATAGATTGGTTAAAAGGCTTTATGAAACGTCACCCGGATTTATCAATTCGAAGACTTGAAGCTACATCGGCAGCGCGAGCGATGGGTTTTAATAAAGTAGCCGTGAATAAATTTTATTCTTTGCTAGGGGAAGTATATGACAAATATAATTTAACGCCGGATAGAATATATAATTGTGACGAGACTGGAATATCAAGCGTCTCCAAAACAAAGAGCAAAATCATTGCTGAAAAAGGCAGAAAACAAGTAGGCTCCCTTTCTTCTGCAGAAAGAGGGCAGACAGTTACCGTCGAGATATGTTTCAATGCAGCCGGAACTTATATGCCTCCCATGCTAATATTTCCTCGGCAGAGAATGAAGCAGGAGTTACTGGATCGAGCTCCTCCAGGGACGACGGCGGAATGCAACGCTCGAGGCTGGATGACAACTGAAACCTTCATGAGTTGGTTCCAACGATTCGTTATATGTTCTGGGGCCTCAATTACTAAACCAGTCTTGTTACTTCTGGATGGGCATGTAACTCATACTCAAAATATTGAGGTTATTGAAAATGCACGTAAAAATGGTGTTGTTATGCTTTGTTTTCCCCCCCATTGCACCCACAGGCTCCAACCCCTGGATGTCGGCTTCATGAAGCCATTGAGTGTGTATTATGATCATGCTTGTTCTAACTGGTTACGGTCGCACCCAGGCCGAATAATTACAACCTTTCAAATAAGCGAAATTTTTGCAGATGCTTATATTCAGGCTGCAACAATGTGCACGGCAATTAATGCATTTAAAAAATGTGGGATATGGCCATTTAACCAAAATAATTTCACCGATTCAGATTTTTTAGCTGCATCAACAACTGACATTCCGATCACAAATTATGAAACTGAAACAACTTCTTCAACTGCTGATATTCAGCAACCGTCTTCAACTGTTAATAATCAGCAACCACTGCCGCCTCCCCTTGAACCTATTTTACCTGCAGTACATCAGGAAACGCCTATATCAGAGCCTCAGTCTGGACCATCTATGCAACAAGAAAATAGCGTTTCCCGATCTCCAATCCGAAGAGTATGTCGTGATTTAACAACTTCCTTTGAAAACGCTTCTCCCAAAGACATTCTCCCCATCCCTACCGTTGAACAAAGAAACCAAACGAGAAAAAATTATCGCAGAGGGAAAACGGTTGTTCTCACTTCTACTCCCTACAAGAACGAATTAGAAGAGCGCGAACACCTTAAACGGACGAAGAAGTGTTCCAGTCCGACTGATCACGGATATAAAAAAAACTCAATGAAACAGAGGACTCAAAAAGCTCGCTCTGAAGGCGAAAATGTTAAGGAGGATGCCTTATGCATCTATTGTGTTGACTCAAACCACACTTATTTGAAGTCTTCGGAGCATTGGGTGGCCTGCCAACTATGTGGACAGTGGGCCCATACAGCCTGTGCAGGAGTTGATGACGCTGTTTTGGAAGAAATCCACATCTGCTTATTCTGTGATAAATAAAATAGTGTACCCCGTGCTGCCCCAGACTGAGTACCCCATACTGCCCCTACCCCGGGGCACGATGGAGTTTTCATTAAGGTTTTGTATTATTAAAATTAAAAATATTATTTGATTTCTTACTTCACCAAATTCGGTGCCAAATGATAGCTTAATAAGTAACCAAAGTGTTGTCATTAGTTTTCATTAAAAAATATTTTATGTTTACTGTTTTTTTTATTTTTTCCCTTAAAGTCCCCGTTATGCCCCCCCTTCCCCTATTAGGTATTGTTTATTCTAGATTTTCTATTTTTTGTTAACTTTTGTTTTCATTTTCGTACGCTTCTAATTATTTTTTTTTCTTCTAATATGCTTATAATGTCAATGTACTTACTTATTAGGTGAAGACTGATAATAAGAACTGATTAGTTGTTATTATGTAGATATTAAGTTTTATAGTGTACGTATAAAGAGTTTGTGTTATTATGTAGACCCAGGATTGGACCACGACGACTTTATGTATAAGTAATTTAAATTACTTCCTTCTTAATCGTAATATAGATATCCAGCTATTTCCTACTAACTATGCCATTAAATGATTGTGAAATTTAAGTAGATCCTTCCTAAGCCTGGCTTAGTTGTTACATTAGTAAGATTTAGAATAAGAGAAAGATTATGTGTTTATCTTAAGTACCTAATTGTATTTTTTATAGTTTATATCAGAAATTAATATAAGAAACATGTTGATCTCGTTATAAAGGCTGAATGGTTAAGTAAAAATTATTACATGTCACTATTTTTATTTTAGAGTAAGAGCCCGGGGCCCCCAGACGTTACTTATTTTCTGAGTAACGAAAAGTATCGTACAGAGTAGTGTTAGGGTATACGTTGAAGGTATGCATACCTGCTAACTTGGGCCGACGGCCAATTCACAGGTACCAGGTGCTAGAGGTACATAAAAATATTGGTCACTTTTCTTAAATTCTGAGAGCTGATTTTTATATATATTTTAAAAAATTGAATTAAAATTTAAAATTAATAGTGCCAGAACGTTTTCGTCGGCGGTAATTTACGCCAGAAGCTTTAAAGTTTGGAAAAAAATAACGTAAGTTTACTCAAAGTCTGAGTCTTGATTTTTATATATGATATTTTAGAAACTATTTTAACACTATTTCTATGCAGCCATGAGTATGCATAAGATCATTATTTACGAGGAATAAGAACCGTCTTTATCTCAAAGTTTACCAGGCTTTCATGCGATCACTGGCTGTGATTACAATCCTGCTTTTTTTTAAGAAAGGTAAACAAAGGCCATTCAGTATTCTTAGAAAAAACGAAGAGTACCAAAAAGCACTTTGCAGATTTAGCGAACTGGAGTTATTCAGTAGTAATAGTGAACTTGAGGAAGAAACCTTCAATACCATCCAAAACTTTATTTGCAATGTTTATAACGTGGCCGGAGTCATTGATGTAGATGCTGCAAGACTTTAATAGCTTATCAACACCTATACTGCTTCTGATGTAAATGAAGAGTTTATCCTGAAAAATATTAAAAACTTTGATGCGAGCAACTTACCACCGCGTAAGACTGAACTTCCGAAGCAGTTCCGGAGAGCAAATTACATCGCTAGTCTCTTGGAATAATGCTCATATGAAGATGCTTGGTATTTTCAGACCAGAGAATAACGGATGGAAGCTAGAAGACAAGCGATATCAATTTAATTGGTTCGATGGAGACCAGTTACCGTCAGTGAATCGCTTGACAAAAACTTAGATTTTTTTTTTAATTTCTTTTATAAATATGTAGCTATTTTACTTATAATTTTGATATTTTATTTGATTTTACAGAGACAGAAACAAGTAATACTGATATTAATGATGATGATGATGACTTAGAGACTCAATACAATAATTGGCTGGATGACGAGTTCTCAAATACCAATGATGACGATGACGAATATTAAAAACTAAAATTTAATTATTATTAATAAAGAAAGTAATTCATCTTAAATATTTTTTTTTTATAATATTTGCTCTACATATTTCTCTATGTTTTGTAGAAAAAAATACAAATAAATATTTTTTACAGGATAAAATGCTAGTAACAAAATTATTTTTTTTGTTACTTTTCGTACGAACCTTCCCACTCATAACTTAATAATTTTTATCATACTGAAATTTATAATTTGTAATTGGGCACTAAAATATGGTTTGATTATTATTTAAAAAATTACAAGACTGAACTAAAACATAAATTCAACAGGCCTGTGATATAAAACCGCGAAAACATTTTAAATATGTCTGGGAGATATTTGGCCCCTAGAATTTTTCTGGCCGCATTGAAATAGTTTTAAAATATGTAGTTTCTAAAATATCATATATAAAAATCAAGACTCAGACTTTGAGTAAACTTACGTTATTTTTTTCCAAACTTTAAAGCTTCTGGCGTAAATTACCGCCCACGAAAACGTTCTGGCACTATTAATTTTAAATTTTTAATTCAATTTTTTAAAATATATATAAAAATCAGCTCTCAGAATTTAAGAAAAGTGACCAATATTTTTATGTACCTCTAGCACCTGGTACCTGTGAATTGGCCGTCGGCCCAAGTTAGCAGGTATGCATACCTTCAACGTATACCCTAACACCACTCTGTACGATACTTTTCGTTACTCAGAAAATAAGTAACGTCTGGGGGCCCCGGGCTCTTGGACTATTTCTCATTTAAACCTTTTAATAAATATTTTTTTCATAAACAACGTTTTATTATTTCATAACTCAAAATAAATTCAATAATTTCATCATCTTCAACGTGGTATTTAATTTTGTCACAACGTAAATCTTACATATATCAAGAACAACGTGATAAGTCCTCCGTCATTTTTTAAAATGACATTATTTAACGATTTTTATATCAAAATTTACCTTACTTTTACACAATTATTTTTATAATTAATTGAACTAAAATACACTCTAATATTGTTAAGTAATCAGTGCAATATTTAAAAAGTTTATCGACGATCAAAAGTTTAAATATGGTATACTGTAAAATTGAGGTTTTCGAAATGTCACATTATCGTCGCAAGAGAGCGATATTTGAAACGTAATTAGAAAATATAGAGTATTCTTTTACATTTATAAGGTGCTAAACAAAAAAGAAATTCATTTAATTATGGTCATGTAAAACGTCATTTATTTATTTTCTTTATTATTCAATTACTTGTAGAATTTTAGTCATTATAGAGTTTAGTTAAATATTTTTAGTGCTCTAGTTTTTAGGTTATAAGACTTTTAATATTTACACAATGATAGTGGACAATAGTGAGGTTCGGAAGCTATAAACATTATAGTTTTTCTTTTCGCGTAGTTTTTCTTTATTAATCTATATTCTCCGTCTCCTTACCTTTAATTCAGTGCTAAAATTATTAAAGTCAGACCAGTAATTCATAAGTTATTAACAAATAAGTGACACACAGTGCAGTGGATCAAATAAAAATAACCTCTCTAGCATATGGTGCGTGTTAAAAACTTTTCTAAGATTTTCTCGTGTACAAACTAAAAGTTAAATTCATTTTCTTAGTGAACTCTTCCAAATAAAACATTTAAATCAAATTTATCTCCACAAACAAAAACCAATTTTCAAAATATTATTTACGTAACGCACTTCTTATACAAATTTTAAAAAATCATAACTTCTTTATTTATTAATATTTTTCAAAAATATTTCTTTCTGTGTCTTTAGTTTATATAGCTCTATAATATACATTTATAATTTAACATAATATTACTCACACTCCAGGGTGGCTGGAAAAAATCTCTCATAGAGATAAGCTTTCCTATGTATCACTTTGTTACTTTGTTATTCTTTTTTCTGTGTTACTTGTTTTTGGTACATGAATAAATAAATTAATAAATTTTTTTTTTTTTCTAAACATTACCCTCCCCCTCACCCACTGTATAAACCGTTATCTTAGTACACAATGCGACCCGTGTGATAGTGAGCGTCTACAACGGCGATTAGGCGAACATGGCGCTTCCGATCAACCCCAAACCACTCCCGGCCTTGGCTGAGGATGTGAAAGATGATCTTACTGGCTGGTTCAGTTATTGACCGGCCATGGCTGCTTTGGAAAATATCTTTTCAAAATAGCCAGAAGAGAGGAGTCACCCGCCTGCCACCACTGTGACTGCGCTATGGATACAGAAAGTCACACCTTATTTGACTGCCCGGCGTGGGCAAACGACAGATTGCCCATAGCCGGCTTATTCACCGGACACGACGGATCGTTGGCGCACATCGCGCGGCGCATCACTCAGAAGAAAGAACTTTGGGAGGCTCTCGACGTCTTCGCGGAGTCAGTCATGAAGCGGAAGGAGATGGCTGAGAGGGAGAGGGAAGTCGACCCTGCGGCCACTCAGGCGAGGCGTCGAAGACCCGGAGGGCGGCGGCGAAGACACGCCGGTCGCATCCTGTAAATAGTAGATAATGTAAGCTAAGGTGTAAATAAATGAATTAATATAAACATGTATATATATATATATTTATATGTTTTGTTTAGTTTAGTTTAATATATTATTTTAGTTTGTAGGATTCATTCGTCCCTTTATTGAGGGACGAATAGAACGTGTGTGTTTGTTTATACATTTAGGATAATAGCACACAACAAGGAGCAAAGGCAAAAGCAGGAGAGGCGCGCGTCAATGACGCTGAGCGGCGGACGTACGTCGAAGCCCGGAGCAATGGACACACCAGTCACCGGACTTCGGCTAATACGAAAGGATTGGGCCTTGGAGGTTTAGTGGGTAGTGGCCGAACGCCTTTAGATCGAGCCCCACACACCCCCGTGTCATTAAATTTGCCCAGACACGGGAAGTCCGTAATAGGATTCCTCCAAGTAAAAAAAAAAAAAAAAGGATGTGAAAAATGATAAAACGCTCCACAGTGTGATTAACGCCTTTGCCAGCTACATCCCGCGAGTCGCACGATGGTGGGTCCAAATTCACAAATTTGATTGTACAATTGA